TCAACATATTTAAACAAAACAACAAGAAAGAAAAATAACGAGTAACAAATTGTTTTATTATTTTTTAAAAACTTAAAATAATGTAAGTTTACCAGTACTCCATTTAAAAATGTAATTTAAATGAATGTAATATGTTAAAAATGATAATCAAAACACTAACAGGGATGCTAATATAATACTGATTATTTTTTATATGTAACAGATGACACAGTTTATTGCAACAGTGCATACAAAAAAAAATCTTGATTATTCCAACTGCATTTGCAGAATTTAAGTAATAAAGTAGTACTTATTTCTGAATGTGGTAAATTATGTTAATTCATGCATAAGTAAATATTCATTTATTGTGTGTGTATAAACTGGTCCGTTGTGATCTGGAAGACTCATAATAGTAAATATAGTATTTACCCTATTCATGATTGTAAATACAGCATTTACCCTATTTATGGTAGTAAAATAAAACATTTCTTAAAAGTAGTTATTGATTTGCAGGTACGGTCAGAAGGCCAGGGTTTAAAGAGATACCAGAAAACAAACAAAAAGTCATGAGCGTATATCAATGGATCCACACAAGTGATCTTAACATAAGTTAACTGTAGATCTTTAAGCTTTAAAACAAAAACTGCCATATTAAAATCTTGATCATCGTTACGTTTTCACCTCAAATGCCGCAAGGGAGATAAATAATATGCTACCGGAAATTAATAAGGCCTAACTTTTGTTAACATAAATACTTACACCTTAAATGTATTATTTTAATCAATTTTGAACAGTTGTTAAGATTTTAATGTTTTCATTTTCTTATTTGAGAGAAACTTTTTTGAGCAGGGGGCATGAGCTGATTACTAAGTTGAGTTAAAGATAATCATATTTTTATACTCTAATTGATTGATAGGAATAGGAATAAAAATCAACTTACTCTTCTGGCAAATTCTTTTTTTACACATTCATGAAATGCATGCATTAATAACAAATTTTGCAATATTTTTTAATTATAAAAAAAATAAATTTAACAGCAAAACACAATAAATAGCCACTTCATAAAAAATTTTCAGGTCACCAATGTTTTCTCACGAGAACTAAACATCTGTATGAATAACTATCAACAATAGATACTTTGTTAAAAGTAAGTGATAGACCGATAACTGCTGTTATATATATATGGCGTGTGTATTGTGAGCTATTTTCTAAAAGAGATTTCATTAAAACGCACAAAAAAGTGAAACCTTGTAACCAAAACATATGTTACTATTTGTGAAAAAACCCTAATATAATAACCTTTAAACAAGAAAAACTACAACGGCTAAACTAAAGCAAATGAAATGTTGTTAACACACCAATCACTAGTTCATAGTTGACCAGATGGTGGGTCAGTAAATGACCTGTTTATTTACATGGGAAAACACCATTATTACTGATCGGTTCAGGAAGACCATTCTACATAGCAGAATTGAAACATTACAAAATAACATGGCCTCAACATGTAGGCTAGGACTCGGTATGGTTCATTTCACGGTGGAACAAGTTGTAAAACATTAAAAACACAAGCGAAAGTTATTCTTTAAAAAAAAAAATTGAGGTACATAAAATAAAATAATAATGAATTGGGACTTGACCGAGAATGAAAATATAGAAATATTTTAATGGAGCAAAATATTTGCATGAAATGCAAAGTTAATTTTTAAGTGGTTTAGGACAAAGTTTTAAGGGGACTCAGCAGTTACATCCACAAAAGCAGTTACATCCACACAAACAGTTACATAGACACAATAAGTTACACCCACACAAACCCTTACATCCATGTAAACATTTACATCCACACCATCAGTTACATCCACACAATCAGTTACATCCACACCATCAGTTACATCCACACCATCAGTTACATCCACACCATCAGCTACATCCACACCATCAGTTACATCCACACCATCAGTTACATCCACACCATCAGTTACATCCACACCAATCAGTTACATCCACACCATCAGTTACATCCACACCATCAGTTACATCCACACCATCAGCTACATCCACACCATCAGTTACATCCACACCATCAGTTACATCCACACCATCAGTTACATCCACACCATCAGCTACATCCACACCATCAGTTACATCCACACCATCAGTTACATCCACACCATCAGCTACATCCACACCATCAGTTACATCCACACCATCAGTTACATCCACACCATCAGCTACATCCACACCATCAGTTACATCCACACCATCAGTTACATCCACACCATCAGTTACATCCACACCATCTTAACATAATATCAGCTACATCCACACCATCAGTTACATCCACACCATCAGTTACATCCACACCATCAGTTACATCCACACCATCAGTTACATCAACACCATCAGTTACATCCACACCATCAGCTACATCCACACCATCAGCTACATCCACACCATCAGTTACATCCACACCATCAGTTACATCCACACCATCAGTTACATCCACACATTCTCAATTATTGACTGACTAGAGCATAAAGTTCAGCAAGGTAAAAATTTTTTTTTGTAAAAAGGCTAGATACTATATTTACAGTTGTTCATAACTTAAAACAATTCAAATGTATTACAAGACTAAATGTCTGGTTTGTTATAAATTAAGTGCAAGAATACAAAGAATTTAAATTTATAAGCTATTATTATTAATATTTTCTCAACTACAGATGGTGTAAAAGTTACTACACTTTCTAAAAGTACCTCCTAATGAATACAAAATACATTGGAGCTAGTACTCCCAATTACTCACTAACCAGGCAGCAGTGGAGCTAGTACTCCCATTAACTCAATATAACAGGCAGCAGTGGAGCTAGTACTCCCATTAACTCAATATAACAGGCAGCAGTGGAGCTAGTACTCCCATTAACTCAATATAACAGGCAGCAGTGGAGCTAGTACTCTGATTTACTCACTTAACAGGCAGCAGTGGAGCTAGTACTCTGATTTACTCACTCAACAGGCAGCAGTGGAGCTAGTACTCCAATTAGCTACCTATATTAGTGGCAGCAGTGGAGCTAGTACTCCCATTAACTCACTATAATTCAGCTAGTGTTTTCCTTATACTTAAAAAGATGGGCATACAATTTTAGTTTGTTTGTAAAACCTGAGGCCAATCACTAACATTTTGTTGCAAAACAATGAACAACACTGAGCTTATACATGTACGCTGATAAAAACAATAGAACAACAACAACAACTGTGGGTCATTAAAACACAATAAATATCATTTATGATTTTTATGTATTTGTGAAGAAATTAAGCCATCTTTCATGGTTTGGTTTAATTAAAGACAACGTCATACACCAACAAGGGATCTTTTGAATTAAAACCTTAATATGAAAGGTTGCATTACTTGCATAAATAACAAGAGTATTTAAAAAAAAAAAAAATTTCATATGTCCATCATAAATAATGAAAGACCATTTAAGAGACGTAATAATAAGTAAAGTAACAACCTTACGCTCAAGGTTTTCATGAAATATAAACAATAAATATTTTTGGCATGTTGTTTTCATTTTAGGTTAATCCAGTCTAGCTTTAAATAAAAACATACTTAAAACATGTTATTCTTTGATTGATTGCTACGAGTTTGAAATCAATTCTTTAAGGAGATTTTTATACACCTGTAAGTATTAAATATTACCACTACAGGTTTGCTACTGATCTAATGGAGTAACAATTTTTTTGAGTAAAATGTAAATTAAAATTTCTATTGGATCATAATAATTGTGCTTGGACAATCACTATTTCTGTTGTTTTTTTGTTTTTTCATGGACATGATGGGTACCTGTGTTACCCAGTGCTTTGATAACATAGATCAAGAAATTCACATAGTGCTATATTTCTTGTCCTGGATGATACAAATAATGCATTAAGATATGATGTGGTTTGCTTAGAATTGGAAGATCTACCCAGTACGTCATAAATACCCTTCACACCAGGGGTTCTCAACCTGTGGGTCATGACCCCTTTAGGGGTCGAACGATCTTTTCACAGGGGTTGCCTAAGACCATCGGAAAACACATAATCTACAGTTATGAAGTAGCGACGAAAAATAACTTTGGGGTTGGGGTCGCCACAACATGAGAGACTGTATTAAAGGGTCGCGGCGTTAGAAAGGTTGAGAACCACTGCTTTACACCATAAAGCTCATACTAGGGACACAGTAATAAAAGCTAACAGATTTTAACAAATAGTTAAAAAGAAAACATGATAAAGAGAGTCAAATGCATAACAAATTATCAATTCATTGAAATCGGAGTTAATATTAATATCAGATCGTACAGTGGGGACAACTCACAATCATCAGGGTGACACCCTCATCACATTTATATGGTCCCCATATAAAAAAGCTTTATGGCTTTAAAAATAACATATTAATCTACACATGAAATCAGGAACGGTTGGTTGAAAAAATCATAGTGAATTATCTTTAAAACAATTATTTTATGTTTATATACTGGACGGCTGTCAACTGGCTGCAATCTATATGGGACTGTCCATACATGATTCTCCTGCTAGCCCATTTGTCCAACGGGTTGTGTAGAACCAGGGTGAGCGCGGTGAACTTTACCATGAACTGTCAAGTGAATCTGCCGAGAGAACCCAGCAGGACATCTGCTGCATTTAAAGCGTTTTCCCTTTTTGGGAGCACTGCTGCCTTTGACTTTGAGGAATTTAAGATTAGAGATTAATTTTTTACTGCGGAGCCAGTGCCGAGGATTTTGTCCAGAAGACAAGATACTTAATTTGACACGCCTTGAAACACCACCGACGTGGCCGAGCTTGCCAACATGAGTCGCTGGACAAGGATGGCCATCTGAAACTGTTGAACGTTCTTCTCCATTTAATTCCTTTACCACAGGGCCGCCAACACTTTTTATATTGAAGGTATTTTTATTCTTAATGTTTGTATTGTTGTTAGATTTAGTTTTTCTGCCCTTGGCCTTCCCACGGAAATGAGATTTTCCTTTCTTACCACAAGAACCGGACATGTGCCGCTTCAAGCTATCTGCATAGTAAAAGTCTTTACTGCAAACCGAACAAATAAAATTCTTAACACCCTGATGGACCAGCTGGTGACGCTTGAGACTTGAAGTGTCTTTATATGACCTTTGGCAGACGTCACAAGCGAATGGCCGCTCCTGACTGTGAACATTCATATGTCTCACCAGCAGGTAGTTTTTGAGGAAAACCTTATCGCAGATGGCACAGGGATAGTCGTTGACCTCGGGACGCATGAAATGTTGGAGTTGCTGCTTATAAACCTTGCAGGCTGTTTTGGCCACGTGTCTCCTGAGACCCGACACGTCCATGAAACCTTTCTTGCAGCCTTCACAGGTGTATGGCTTTTTGTAGGTGTGCACTTTAAGGTGGCGTTTCAGTCTGAACGCCTCTGAAAATCTCTTCTGGCAAACTTCGCAAACATGGGGCTTAAGATCCGAGTGGAACTTTTTGTGCCTCTCCAAATAAGCTTTGGTGGAGTAAATCCGTCCACATTCTGGACAGGAGAAGCCTACCTCAGGATCAGTGGCTTCCCCTTGAAGATTTGAGGGGCAATCTTGGAGCCGATGTTCTGTTAAAGCCTTAGTGTCCTTGAACTCACGTTCACAACCAGGACACACGGCCATGTGCAGACGATGGTGCTGTTTTAGATTGAACGCCTCGGAGAATCTTTTCAGGCAAATGTCACACTCAAACTTGAGCAGACCTTTGTGCGTCTTCATGTGCTCCCGAAGGAAGTCTGCTTCTGCAAAAACTCTGATGCACTGGGGGCACGGGTGCAGAAAATCTGCCGGTACTTTCAGTTCTCCGATTGTGCAGCCCCGTGACTGGTGTTTCTTTAGACTCCAGTTATCACAGTAACCACGGTTGCAATACGCACACATGTATGGCCTGGTGTCCGCATGGATACGAGTATGGCGTTTCAGACTAAAAGAATCAGAAAAGCTCTTGCCACATTCGATGCACGTCAAGTTGGGATTGCCAGTGTGATAATTCATGTGCATCTCTAAACACTGCTCGTTCTTAAATGCCTTACTGCAGATATTACACAGAACAGGGAAACTTTCTCTATTTTCCTTTTTCGCACCACTTTCTCCCACAGTGATCCCCCTTTGGATGTCATCATCATTTGTTAATTCGAGCTTAACACTTGGCTCCTCTTGTGAAAAATCACCAAATATTAAAGGGAGATCGTCATCTTCATTGTCATCGTCGTCATCGCCATTGTCGTAACCGCATTCAAATAAATGGTCTGACTGTGATGAAGGTGATTTAGGCACGGCAGATGCCAGCGTCGGCTGAAAGTTGAGTTTGCGCTTCAAATCTGCCAGATAAGCTCCAGTACTTGCATTGTCACTGGGATCATCTGTTGAACATTGGGATGAACTGGAAGTGGATGATGCAGAGTCCATGGAGCTTGGCATGGTATCAAATGGATGACAAGCCTGTAGATGTAAAAAAAAAAAAAAAGGTTCAGTTACTGGCTGGTATGGTTGCATCAATAATTTGATAATCAGCCTTTAAATAATTTAATCTGTATTTATTGATATTAATTAGCTCATCGGCTTTTGGCGATCACAATATCATACCCGAAGAATTTTGATGGTTTTAATAAAAAATAAAATGTTATTCACTAGAGTAAAATGTCATGTAGCTGTGTCTCATTCTGTACTAGGGTGAAATGTCATGACTATGTCTCATTCTGTACTAGGGTGAAATGTCATGTAGCTGTGTCTTATTCTGTACTAGGGTGAAATTTCATGTAACTGTGTCTAATTGTGCACTAGAGTAAAATGTCATGTAGCTATGGCTCATTCTGCACCAGAGTGAAATGTCATGTGCTTTCTCCTGTTCACCACAGATTTAAGCTGCACTCAGGGAATAATTTTATACAGGTGCTTCACACAATGACATAATTTAGAATGTGAACTTCACACAGTGACATAATTTAGAATGTGAACTTCACACAGTGACATAATTTATAATGTGAACTTCACACAATGACATAATTTAGAATGTGAACTTCACACAGTGACATAATTTAGAATCTGAACTTCACACAGTGACATAATTTAGAATGTGAACTTCACACAGTGAGGTAATTTAGAATGTGAACTTCACACAGTGACATAATGTAGAATGTGAACTTCATTCAAACTATCCATATAAGAATTTGTATTTAAGGAATATATTTCATTTTTAATAGACAACAAGGCCATATTCCAAACAAGGGAGTCATAAAAAGATGTCTCATGGGTGGGG